TTGTTATCTAGCACGATCAAATCGGGTTTCGCATTGCTTCTTTTCACTTACTGTTGTTGCCCATCTTCAAGAGGTCGGCTGGTAGAGAGCTTAAACCGGTAATCCGGCTCGAACGGCCGCTGCAGAGTTGCTTGGCACTTGCCTTCTTCGGGGGAGGAGATCAAAGCATGAAACGGCTCCTTCGGGAGCCGGATCACGCCAACCTCACACTCCCTCTTAGGCGCTGCTGCCTGCTTGTCCCCCCCCCTCACTGGGGAGCGATGCGTTGGGCTAAAAACTGCCCAAGCTGTCAAAAGCGGCTGTCGCTCACTTCGCACAATCGCGAAAGTGTGTCAGTCCTCCATCTTAGCCCGACCGGAAGCCAGGGGCACCTGGCTCTTAATCGGGGTCAGAAAGAGAACAATGAAGTCAAGAGGATCCAAAGAGCGATTAAATTGTGGTTTAAATCGCTAGCTGGGAAGACCTGCTTTAATCGTTGTTTTCTGCATAAAAGTTGAATTCTTGCTGTTTCTTGTAACCTTGATACATATTCTCAACTCAGAGCGAGATGCAGGTCTCATTTTTAAAAGGTAGACAGTACACATTTTAACATAGTAATTTATTTTGAAACATTTCAGGTTTGTTTTATAGCTGTATCAGAAAACAAATCCATAGTTTAAGAACTGTAGGACTAAGATCTGTTCTGGCATCTTCTAGACTGAACACTTAAGTCCTGTTAGGTAGATAGAAAATGTTAGCCTAAATAATCTTTACAGAAACCTCTGGGACAGCCTGACATTGGGCCCCTAATCCATAAATTTCTAGAAATCTATGAAAATTTCTTAAATATTAATAAATATATTGTCTCTTGCTAAAGAATTACAAAATTAATAATCCCTATTACATTATGGGATATCTTAGAGCTATAATGTATCTTAATTAAAAATATCTTTAGATAAATTCTTCCTTTAAAAGCTTTTTATCTGAAAAACTCTGGTTTAAATTTAAAAAATTTAAAAATCTGATTTAAATCAGAAACATATTTTTTAATTTTTTTGAGCACTGATTTTTATTTTGCTGACCCCTGTCCTCACCAGTCTGGGAAGGTGAGGGGTCATGGAACTTCTGCTCCCAGGCGATGGGTGGGAATATAAAATGTACCCCTTTTTCCTTTCCGATTTGTACCTCATGCCAAGTATGCTCAGTATAAAGACCATTGGGGGTCAAGGCCAACCCCTTTACAAATAGAGAAGAAGAAGAGGGGGGAGAGGGGATTTATACCCCGCCCTTCGCTCAGAGTCTCAGAGCGGCTTACAAACGCCTTTCCTTTCCCCTCCCCACAACAGGCACCCTGTGCGGTAGGTGGGGCTGAGAGAGCTCTTTCCAGAACTGCCCTTTTAAGGACAGCTCTTGTCAAAACTATGGCTTGCCCAAGGTCATCCAGCCAGCTGCAAGTGGAGGAGTGGGGAATCAAACCCTGTTCTCCCAGATTAGAGTCCGCGCACCTAACCACTACACCAAGGCCTGGCAAAACTAGACATTTGGGGGAAACGCTGAAAAACAAATCCTGTGACATATTTTCTTTTCTTGAAAGAGTGAAATGCTTCTTAAGACAAGGTTTGGCTCTTTCAAAAACTTTCTAAAACTATACATAGTACAAAGATTTTTATGGAAAACAAGGTACAGAATTAGACAATTATTTTGTACACTTACCTCCCCTCCCCTTCGTGTGGGAAGCTGAGCAAATCTCTTCTGCGACAGCTGCCACAAGCAGGAACAGCCTGTCATGATAACTGAGACACCCAACTCACACGGGATTTGGCCAATTTATGTTCGTAAATTAGTCACATAAGTTTAATGTGATAAGAAAGTAAGTATTTCATGTATTTCTATTCCCCCCCCCAAAAAAAAATCTGATTTCCCCCCCCACACACACACAGCTTCAAAATTTCCAGAAAATATACATCGGGAGGGGTGGCATAATACCTATTATTAGTGGCACTTCCTCAGTTGTTTGTGGGATCATCTAAGATCCTTCCCCATCTCATCCAAAATGGGGATGGGAGAATGTCCACAGCACTCTCATATGTTTTGCATTGTGCTTCCACTGCCTGGCCCTGGATTCAGAGGCAGGTAGTGGAATCGGCACCAGTTTTTTCTTTTCCCAGTCGCTTGCAGTCAGCAAGTCATGCTGCACTTGCCTGTGGTAGCCTAGTTGACTGCTACAGATTGCTGTGCTAGTGAAAACCTTGTGGCCTGTTTTGTGCTGTTGCTTTCTATCTCCATAAGGAGGAGTACAGATAAGGGGCAGAGAGAAGAAAGAAAGGGGGGATTGACAGATGGAGTCAGGGAGAGAGAGGCGGGGAAATCAAAGTGGAATTGAGGGTACAAGAGACAAAAAGAAAAGAAAGGCGGATAGGACAGAGCTGGGGGTGGGGGACTCCCAGAAGTGGTGCGGGGAGAGAAGAATTTGTACCATGGGATGCAGAGAGACAGAATTAGTTGAGAATGCTGAAAGGAACATACTGGTTCGGGATCAAAATGCTTTCCCTGGGTGATACAACAACAAGGCCCTGTTGCATGAATGGAAGTCTAAAAGTGCCTCTCAGAATAATTTGTGTTGTGCTCCCCATCCTACACGACACCCTCCCCCCCCCATTCTCACCTGAGAGAGTGCTCCTGGCTTGCTTAGGTCATTAGCTGTTGCAAATTATTGTAGGAAGTGACACGTTCATACGGGGCTAGGGAATACTCAGCAGAGCAGATCGCGCATTTTGAAAAAGAAAAGGCCAGAGATTTTCAGGTGCCCCCAGAAACCCTCAAGTGCAGAGTTACTTGGGTTACTTGGGTTCTGTTAGACTCAACCCTTTGCGGGGGTTCCTTGCCAGGAAACTGCCTTCTCACTGCACTGCTGATCATGCCAACCCACATATTCTCCCTCACTAGCACTGGGGCCTAATTCAGTCATGCCGACCTGCGTGCCATGACAACTTGATTAAAGGCTCCTTTCTGCTCTAAGCTCCAAATCAAAGAGGCTGCCTTCAGCATCTCTGCGTGATTCATTCCTGTAACTTTGCCTCCATTGGTAATCAGCCAACCCTGGGAGTGGGTACTTCAGCCCCACCTCTGCATCAGATGTGTTGCAAGCATGCAGTTTCTCCCAAAGGAGAGACGCAGCAAAATTGACTCCCACCTCCAGGGAAGATTGCATGGATCTTTGTATGAGTCTCTGTTCTGAGCTGGCCTCCATCCAATCAGGAGGCTCGCTCAGCACCGCAATTCATACAGAAGCACAGTGGGTGGGCTTCTCCTCAGAGCAGGCAATTGTTACTCCTAAAGGGGGGGCAGGATACACATGAAAAGCCCACCACCCTTTGGAGGCAAACCATTTTAGTGCAGGAAAATGTGTTCCGCAGCTATCTGGAGCTTGGTAATCACTGGTTCTGTGTCATACAGATTTCCAGACTTGGGTTCCTGCTCTTTTATTTATTTCTCTATCTAGTCCATTTATATCTCACTTTTCTCCCCAATGGGGACTTCCCGTAGCTTACATTGTTCTCCTTTCCTCCACTTTATCATTACACAACAGCCCTGTGAGGTAGTTTAGGCTGAGACTATGTGACTGACTCGAGGTCACTCAGCAAGGGGATTCGAAACTGGGCTACCCAGACCCTCAAAGAATTACTCTTTGTGCATGTTTTTACTTTCTGCTGCTAAAAAATCACATTCCACTTAAACATGCCAGCTCCTGTACAGTTTTTCTTACATTTTGCCACATAAAACTCTGTGAAATCAGACCCTGTTAGTCTCAAGATGGTGTGCCATGGCAGCTCGAATGGGGCAACCCTCTTCTCTGTGGAGGAGGGGCAGGGTATTAATCTGATGTATAAATAAATGTTCTTGAACCAAGGCAGTGCCACTCTTCATGCAGAATTTTTAGTCAGTGAGCCTGGTTTTTTAGAAGTAGTCCCAATTATCTAAGCATTTTTGAGGTTGTTAACAATTTTTTTGTAGATATATGCAAAAATCTGTGGGTGGCAGGCACCCTCTTGCAAGAGGTTCTCGCTTGTACCAGAGGGCACGCCTTTTCAAAGAGGATGCCTGTTGCATCATCTAACAACCCAGGACATATTTTTCTCTCTTCAGAACTCCTTCTGTTTTATGTGTCAACTTATGCAGACTTAATATATTTAAAATGTTTATTAAAAAAAAAAAACAGGTGACAACCCTATATTTAACAGTTGAGGATCTTGGGGATTAGGAATCTGAGAGTATCTTCACCTCAGAGAGGCTCCATGTAGCCTGCTGGAGAAGGGGGGCTTTGAATTGGGGAAATGTCCCGGAGAGGGAAGAGTTCAGTCCTCCCCTCCCCTATTGAGACCAGGAATAAAAAGATTTTCCTTCGCCCAGCCACTGTGGCTGAGAAGCTCTTTGCATTTTACAAAATTAGCTGTATCTGATGTACCTACTGTCATGTAATATAGTCAGAAGATGCATGTTTGTTTGTTTTTAATCTGGTTTAACACTGTGCATAAATGCAGTAGAGAGACAAGACTCAACTTCAGCTCCTTAGTTAGTGTCCCCATGGGATATTTTCCTCTTCTAAGTGTTACAGATTACACCAGGAAATCTTATGGTGTACCTGCTGATGGAGAGTAAAGTTTTATACCCGGCTATTCTCCACCTTAAAGAGTCGTAAAGCAGCTTACAATCTCCTTCCCTTCCTCTCCCCACAACAGGCACCTTGTGAGGCAGGTGGGGGCTGAGAGAGCCCTGAGAGGAACTGGGACTGGTCCAAGGTCACCCAGCAGGAGGGGTGGGGAATCAAACACAGTTCTCCAGATTTTGATATGGGATGAGTCCCTGCAAAGCCACCATACGAAGCTGGTAGAAAGGCCTGCCTTACTTGTGTCAGGAGACAAAACAGGAACCAGCCACAGACGTCTGTCCTCTTGGAAATGTTTTATGCTCAGTTAGCTGTCCTGATTTCTAACCATCCATCTTCCTCTCTTGCTTCACAGGCTGATGCTGCTGACGCCGACTGTCCAGAGGAGGACCCAAAGGAGGGAAATGACCCACCTGAGCAAGTTGACATCAGCAACACTGTGACCAGCACTCTTACTGTGCAGGAGTATTTTGCTAAGCGCATGGCAAAACTGAAGAAAGCCCAGAATGGGAGGGACGTAATGCCCCCTAATTCACCTCCAGTGGTGGCAGAGGAGTGGGAGCGTTTGGGGTCCCAGTCAAAGAAGAAGAAGAAGAAGAAGAAGAGCCGCAAGCCCAGTGGGCCTGAGAATGAGGGTAGCCAGGAAGAACCAAAGCTGAAATGTCCCAGGATGCTTGATTCAAGTGGAGAAGAAATGGGTGAGCCAGACACAGAAGTGCCGAAAAAGAAGAAGAAATTTAAGCACCTGGGCCTGGGGGGCGGTCTTACCTCCAGCAAATCCCAGCGTGGCGACCAGGAGAGAGGATCACGTATCACTGGAACATCCAGTGTGGAAAACAGTGACTCTGAAGTACCAAAACCAAAGAAAAAGAGCAAGAAAAAGCACAAAAAGCTCAGCAGAGATACAGCTGAGGATGTGGAAGAAGGCAGCAGGAGAAAGAAAAAGAAGAAACACTCCAGTTGACATGGGTTTTGAGACTTTTGACACTAGTTACATTATCTTTTGGTTGTGCCAACACATTAGCCGGGTATCCAAATGTGTCCTGATTCATGCAAGACCGTTTGATAAACTCCCCAGAATAGTGTTGGAATGGCTTTTAAGGCAGTGACGGGATTATTGCACCTTCTCACCGTTGTGAGTGCAGATCTGGGATTGTAACCAAAGGAAAAACCAGTATCAGGAAAGTGACTGAGGGCCTAGAAGCAGCATTCTGTTTTGTTCAAAACCATTTCTGTAAATGAGGTTTTCCAACTTGGCTAAGGAACTTTTCTTTACTAATCCCTGCTCCCCTAATATCCAGGAATGGAGTGGCCATTTACCTTATTGGGAAAGTTCTTGGTGGGCGATTGGCAGCTAAGAGGAGGCTGAGACAAGAGTCCCTGCAGGGAGCCATTTGCCTCCTTTTCTCCAGGGCTGGTTTTAACATCCCCATCTGTCCCTCTTAATGCCCATCCCTCTCCAAAGTAGATAGGATTCAGTTTTTGATCCCAGCATTCCATCTCTCTATGTCTTTGCACAAGTGTACACTCCCATGTGTATTGCAGGCTGGGCAAAATGCCCCCCCACCCAGGTGCAGCACTCTGTTTCCAGTCATGGGTTGGAGGATCATCGAATTATTTGGGGGGGGGGATATTTTCTGTTTTGCAGCCAGTCCTGTTTCAAATACCTGAAATTCCTGCATTTGTTAATCTCGAGAAATTTACAGAACTGCTCTTGATCACTCCCTCTGTATGAGGCATTTGGCCTTCTACTGTATTTTTGGGGTACTATCTCACAAATTTCCCTGTCTCTTCTGGAAAGCAAAACCTAATTTATGAGTATATGGTTTTAACTATACTGTTTAGGATGACTTCTTAAAAGTGCAATAATCCCACACACACAAGCTAGATCCTGGCTTTCACACTAGACCCATATTGAGGAATATTATCCTTTTTTAAAAAATATCAGATGGAGTCTTATTCTTCAGTGGTACATGGCCACTCTACTTCGTACAAAGCCTGGAACTAGCAAGATTCTGCTTCCAGGCTGGTGATAATGCCAAAAGAAAAAAGGAGAAGACACGGTAAAAGAACTGCAAATAACAACATATAAACCATGGCTTGAAAAACATGTAATATATTTGTGTATTCCTTTAAAAATTAATAAAGTATATGACACACCAAAATTGTTGTGTAAATTCTTACATGTGTCCCAAATATAAATCGTCCAAATTTCTTTACAATATTTAGGACATGTAAGAATTTACACCACAACAATTTTGGTGTGTCATATACTTTATTAATCTTTAAAGGTATATACAAACAATATACAGCATGTTTTTCAAGCCACGGTTTATATATTGTTATTTGCAGTGGTTATAATGCCCGTCGATAGCCCTTGAATTTAAATTACTTATATTCCATTCTGAATAAAATAGGAATCCCCCTAAAGGGGATCATCTTTGCTATTTATAGCATGGCAATGTGTGAACAGCTTTACTTGACTGTGGTTTTATACCATGCCAAGGTCTTGACCTGCTTGCATTGGTATTCCTCTGAAAATCCATGGCAGCATTTTGGGATGGGGATGGTTATCAAATGAATAAGTAAAACCAAGTGGCCTGGAGGGGATCCAATTATCATGTGTTAAACAGAAAAATGAGGAAATTGATTTGTTTATGGAGATATGTTCAGTTCTGCTGGTGTGTAAGCCTACAGTAATTCTTCTAAATACCTATCCAAATAACAAAATGCATTTTCGTTTTTCACTTCCTCAGTGTCAAGTTTATTTATAAAATGTATTGATTCAATGAAATTAGCGAGTTGGATTTTTTACAAGTATTGTACTAATGTCATTGGCAACTGCAATGGCATCGGGCATGGCATGGCTGCCATGCTTTTTTGACTGGCATATCCCTGAACCATCACTTGTCTACAGCAGAGCTCTACATAAATGCTGCAGCAGAGATTGTGGGGTGAGGGGATTATTGTAATTTGCAAACTGCATTCCTCTAATTCTGTATGCTTCAAAAGAATGTTGTACATTTGAATGCAGGCAATAAACTAGTCCAGGTGAAACAATGGTTCCCTGCCTATTAATGCATGAACCAAAAGATACCCCATGACCTTGATTTCCAGCCCAAGATTGACCAGTTTGGTCATTTGTGACTTTCTTCCCCCCTTTTATAGTCTTTAGAAGAACAAAATAAAACTAAGGCCAAAGGCTTTAAGTGAAAATTGGCTATGCGTACCTTTTTCTTTATTCATCTAATTTGTACCCCGACCTCCCCGCCAAGGCAGGCTTAGGGCGGCTTACAGACAATATGTTAAAACAGTTAAAACACCATATTTAAATAAAGCCACAACAATACAGAATAAAACATATCATAAAGTGCTAGTAGTTTTTTCCTCCTCTGAGCTTTGATCTCTTACTGGTTATATGTGAAGCTTGCCATACAAATGAATTTTGCCTGAATATAGAGTTTCCCATATTGATGTAAAAAGCCACCTAAGCCATCTTTGCTCAACAAATACTTAAATTATGGAATTTACTTCCAATGGATGAAGGCCACGGGCATAGATGACTCCACAAGAGGAAAAACAGATTCATGGAAAGCTATCTGCCACAGTGACTAAAGAGACAGCAGATCCCCAACTACCAGTGTTCGGAGACAACGGGGGGGGGGGCCTCTTGGCACTCCAGGGCAATTGGTTGGACACAGAGTGGAACAGGATGTTGAACAAATGAGCCACTGTCTGATCCAGCAGGATACCCCCGTATGTTGTTATAAGTAATCGACATCAGTGCGTCTTCTGGAAGTGAATTCTACAATTTAAGTACAGGTTGAAAAATTGCTTCATTTTGTCAGTTCCGAATCTGCTGTTATCAGCTTCGATGGGTACCTCAAGGCTGTAGATTTCTGGGAGAATAAGAAGAAATTCTCTGTATCTGTCTCCATCCCATGGATAATTGCATAAGTCTGTATTTTGTCCACCTTAGTCATCTTTTCTATGAACTGAAAAAACAAACTCTTTAGCTGTACCTCATAAGAGAGGTGATCCAGCTCCTTAATCATTTTGGTTTCCCTTTCCTGCGCCTTCTCCTGCTCTACAATATCTTTTTCCTGATATGGCAAACAGGACACAGTGTTCCAAATGTGACCACTTTATAGACCTATTATGATAATGACCTTTTAAAAAACCCTTTCATTAGCAAACGCTGCTGCACATTAAGTTGACCTTTTGACTTGAGCGATCCACCATGAATCCACCAAGATTTTTTTCCCCCTGGCAACTTCTACCAGTTTAGACCCCATCATTGTAAAGACAGCAATTTTTACCCCAGTCTGCATTGCTTTTTGCTGAACCTCATTCACTACATTGTTTCCCCCTCACCCAAGTTGGAGAGATCCTCTTGAAATTCTTCACAATCCACTTTGGTTTTTCACCATCCTGATTAATGTGGTGTTAGCTACTTCACTGCTTTCCCTTGATTCCTTATTTATGAACGAATTACCCAGTCCCAAACCAATACTTGTGGGAATCTTTAATTTCCCTGCATTGTGGGAACTCTACTTTAGATTGTTTAACCAGTTCCGGATCCACAAGGGCACCCATCCTTATATCCCATCATAGCTAAGTTTACTCAGGAGCCTTCCCCCCCCCATATTTTTATTAATTTTGCAACACAAAAAGAGACAAACAACAACAATACATAAACATCAACAAATACACAAAAAGAAAGACGGCCATATCGTATCTTAACACAAAATTCTAACATGGCTAAATACTTCCACCTTCCCCGACATAATCTCAGTTCACATTTCTAAGTGTATTTCTAACAACATCTTAAATCTCTCTTTACATTAATCCTAGTCACAATTAATCCAACAATGAAACTCTATAGGAGATTAAATTCAAATGATTCTTTTTATCTGTCTATAATTCATAACATTTCAACAAAATATTAAATTCTCCTAATTTCTCATCTTTTCTCAACCCTTATCAGATTTCCAACATTCTTTTTATAAACCATAGAATACTCATTTTACCTCTAACTTTACCTTTCTTTCCTACTTCTTTAGCCAGCTTCACACTCTTTGGCATTGCATTGTATTCTGCTTTCAATCCATCTCTACACCTGCAGACCATCACCTTTTTCCCTTTTATATATCTATTCTAACAAAAATTATGTTACCTCACTAAGATCTATATATCTAATAGCCAAGTCGCCCCCTGATGTGTGGATACTTATTTCCGCACATCGGGGGCAACTGGGGGGGAGGGAGAGTTTTGTGCACACGTGGGGCACAAGTATCGCGGGTCCCGCCTCTTGTACTGTATAATTTCTAACTTGTACTTTTATGGCTTTTATTCAGTGTATAACATCTCATAACTATAGTCTTTACCTAGTATATAGTATTTTATAACCATTACTTACTTATCTACCCTATTTCTTAAGAAGAAGAGAAGAGATTGGATTTATACCTCGCCCTTCACTACTTGAAGGAGTCTCAGAGTGGCTTACAAACTCCTTTCCCTTCCCCTCCCCACAACAGGCACCCTGTGAAGTAGGTGCTTATTTCACCAGCTTGCAGGAAACAAAAAAAAACATATTTTTTTTAAGCTATAATATTCATATCTCATCTCTTAAAGACAGATCAAAAATCAAATAAGCTGGGACATCAAAATTCTAAACTATAATATTAACTAAATAATAACTAAAATATTCATGCCTCATGCCTCTTAATAAATTCTCTTCATGTTATTATAAAATATCATACACTACACCCATTTTCTCCAATGGTACTAAGAAATAGCTATTTTACCTCACTGAACTTACAAATGTATTAGCTACTTTACAAATAAATTATTAGTTACCTTAATTGCTCATTTTGGACATAACGCATCATACAGTAAAGCCACCATATGCACAGAGTATCACAATTCCTATCTGAAACACATCCATCTTTCATCTTTCCTTTAACCTGTAACTTATGCTAAACCATTTTGTAATATGCTTATCTTTTCTTGATTTTCTGCATCTTTTTTTTTTTACAACCATACATAAATGTCTTCTCTCTTTAAATACATGAGCTTCCCTTTCCATTAGTTTCCTTCTACATTTCAGGCAAAGAAAAAAAGAGTTCGGTCCAGTATTCTTTGACCTTTTATTATTTCTTCCACGCTTCTCAAGTTTCCTTTAATTTTGCTTTAACAAGTTTAGTCTTTTTGTTGGGTAAATGTTCCCAGACTTTTTTATTCTTCACCTCCCAACATCGCAAAGTTTCCCAGAAGTTCTTCTGAGTACGGCTTTTGGACACTAACTTTCTAAAGTCCCATCTTGCAAGGAGTCAGCGTTTCCTGCACAGTGTTACCTTGCCTTCTGGTCTGATTTTACACAATACACTGCTGGGGCTGTGAGTAATTCCCCTTTTTTCCCCCATCACAAACCAAAAGTGAGTTCTGAGGTTTCTCCAGAAAACTCTTACTCAGGACAGGAGCCTTTGTTGAGGGACTTTGTCAGAAGTTTTTTGGAAATCCAAGTATGTAATGTCTGTGGCTCACCCTAACTTATATGCTAGATAATGCTAAAAGAATTGCAAAGGGTTGATGGAACTGTATATCCATTTAAAGAAGGCCATGCTTCTTCCTCACTACAATCTTTTCCTGCGTGTGCTTAATAATGCTACCTGTAATAAAGTTCCCATTTGTTTACCCAGAATAACTGTCCTGTAATTTGCTGGAAAGTCTGTAGTTTGGCAGTTCGAGACCCTATTGCCGCATGATGGAGTGAGCTCCCATCTCTAGCCCCAGCTCCTGCCAACCTAGCAGTTCGAAAGCAAGAAATTACAAGTAGATAAATAGATACCACTTTCGTGGGAAGGTAATAGTGTTCCGTGCACCTCAGTGTTTAGTCATGCTGTCCACAAGACCACAGAGAAGTCTTCAGACAGTGCTGGCTCTTCAGCTTGGAAATGGAGATGAACACTGCCACCTAGAGTCAGATTTGACTGGCTTTCGGGCAAGGAAAACCTTTACCTTTACTAATTTGCTGGATATCTTCTGAACCCCACCCCCTTTAAACAAAATCAGCATTACATGTACTGTTTTCC